TTCAGTCAGATTTTTTGAGGTTTGTTAATCTTTCTTTTTTTTTCCAAATGAACTATTTTATAAGAGATGATAAGGTTGTGAAATACAGCTTTGTCTTAAAAAATTTGACTTGTCAGACAGTCTGCATCTTCAGACTCATTTCACTGGTACTTAATGCCAAAAAAACCCAAGATCACAATCTTCAGATAAAAGATTGCTTATTACTACAGTGATTTACAATGTCTTAGGTCAGCAGCGTGGGTCACAACCACAATATATCCGTTTTTTAATCCTTTCAGTGATTTTTCTTTAAATAATTGATGGAATTTCTTGGGTATTCAGTCAGTTGTGTAGTTTAAAAAGAGGAATCTGTAATAATGTATGCAATTTTTCTGGTTTCCTGAATACTTCTGAATGAGAGTAACTTGCTAACATTGAAAGATACTGCAAAATATAGGCATTCTTTGATTTTCTGAAGAGATTATTTATTACTCAGACATGACTTTATAAAAAAACCCTGAATATTTGTATTTTTATTTAGTTTTTCACAGATGCAAGTAGTTTATCCTCATTTTTTAGTTTCCAAAAATACTTGCAGAACTACCTAAAGTTAAATATCTAGTAACTTAGGAAGTTGTATTAATCGATCAGTTGGGGTTTTCATGCAGTAATGTTTTAGTAGAGATCAGCAGCTTCAATTGTATTTCTGATTTAGATTTTTGCAGTACTTTGATGCACATGGCATAAGTATATCCAGTGCTTTGCAAGTTTTTGCATGCTACCACTTAAAAAATACCACCAATGCAAACAATGTAGACTATAAAGCTCTAAAATCCAGAATTGGCTTGAGTTACCTTCAACTGTGTTGTAGGTTTAGTTAGATAACAAATTCAAAATGTTATGTGTAATTATGCTCTGACATTAGTTTCATTGTCATAAATTTGTGAGTGTCTTGTGAAAAGTTGTAGATCCTTTAAATGCTTATCCTATAGAGATGGCTGAAATTGTTGTAATAAATTATTCTAACTTAATCTTTTATTGCTGTTTTGTTGGGTTTTTTTAGGCAAACACAATTCTTCCTCATTCTCACAGCCATCACCTGCACTGCCTACCAACACTGATGAATATGGCAGCATCTTTTGACATCATGAAAGAGAAAAGATTGTAAGAATTCTAAGTTACATTTAAGAGCAAAAACCTCTGTCAAAATAATGCCCTCTTTTGGGTACTTCACACAGTTTAAACCTCCTGATGAAAGGAAGTTGAATGATTTGATAGATTTAGATATCTTCAATATGTATTTCTTTAACTCTGTGTCCTTAGTTGCATTTATGTAGAAGACAAATGAAGTGTGTTGGGTTTTTTTCTAATAGGAGATTATGGGAAGTGTTTTTGTTAATTATTCTTGCCATTCATGATCTCTCTTGTCAGACCAATGTTCTGATAAACTTAAAACGTTCTGTTTTGTCTTTCGTTGTGTTGTCAGTAATAAATTACAGAATGTTTCCATACTTCTACTGTGAAATGATAAATGCCACTTGTAGAGTGCTTCCTAAAAGTGTAGTCCTCTTCTGGTTTTTAGTTTTGAAGGTTTCTTACAAAGCAGTAGATGATTTTGATACAAAAAACCACAGGTGGTTTTAAAAAATGGCCTATGTGAAACTTCATCAGAGGATATTTCACATGACCAGAGTGGTGGGGTGAGAGGAAGGATGAAGAGCAGAAGGGATATGCTTGTGGATTCCTTGACTTGGTTTGTTTTTTGGCATTTGTGGACACACCTGATAGAGTAGTAAGAATTTCTGTTTCTGTTGGGGAAAAAAAACCAATCTTGTAGCAGTATTTTTTATCTGGGGTCAAGATCTGTACTGTTTCGTGCTCTGAAAAACTGTAGTCCATGTTATGGATTAAATGTATGTAATTGAGTGACCAAGTTCAAAGGTATTTCTTTAAAGATAAAATAAAAGCACTCTCCTACACTATGAGGGTTTTTGTTTATGGGGAAGAAAGGTAGACTCAACTCCTCCTTTTCAGACTTCTGTGTTTTATTTGCTCAGCAGGTGGGGGATTTTTCTGCTAACACTAGTTTGTAATTAACTGTTTCTGCCCTTGTCAGCTGTCATTTCGATTGCTTCCTATCTTTTCCTGGAAACCTTCTTACATGCTGTTGCTGAACTGTTTAGATACAAGAGCAGGAAGTGTACTAGTGATACTTCTGCCACCCTCGGAGGCGGAGGGAAGGGAATTTATAAGAAGAGCTTTGTTAGCCTAAATTGAAGCTCACCCCCTGAACTGTCAACTTTACTGCAGAATGTTGGTCTGCTCTGACATCTCACAGTGTAAATCAACTTTAAAGTGTCTTCTGTGAACTGTGACAGACACCACTCATTGCAGAATGGAGGAAGAGTTATCAATAAGGGTCCTACTTAAGTGCTTTCAGAAATTCTGAAAGATAATTTTCTGTATAGTTCCAGTACAAGACTGAGGCTTAACTGATGTATAAAAACTTGTCAGAATTGTTGGTCAGGTCTTTCTTAAGCTGTTTACTCAAGAGGTAGTGATGGTTTTTAGTTTGATAATAGTTGCCCAATACTGATTATAGTATTTTTTATTTTTCTATTAGACGAGCAAGTGCAGCGCTCAACTGCTTAAAACGTTTTCATGAGATGAAGAAAAGAGGACCTAAACCTTACAGCCTCCATTTAGATCATATTATTCAGAAAGCAATCTCAACACACCAAAAAAGGGATCAGTACCGTGTGCAGAAAGACATCTTTATTTTAAAGGTATTGCCACTGTTGATCTTTCAAAACTTACTTTGACGCTGTATTTTGGAGACTTGGATCCTACTCTGCAGTCTTCACACATCTAATTCAGAGCCATTTGTGTGATTTCTTTGTAGTGGGGATTTTTTGGCTTGTCTTGTGGGTACTTGTGGATACTATACTGCATTTCTAGAAATTGAGCAAAATTCCAATAATTTTTAATGCTTTATGAGATCAGTGGTGTTCTCTTACTTTTAGATTTTTAATGCAGTACTATAACCATACAATGTACCTTAGATGCAAATGACTGTTGAGCATAGCCCGTTAACATGAATAGTAATATATCATGTGGCAAGACTGAAAAAATGATCCAAGGAAACTTAGTGTAGTTTTTCATGTCTGTATTCCAGGATACAGAGGAAGCACTCATCATGAATCTTCGGGACAGCCAAGTTCTCAATCACAAAGAGAACCTTGACTGGAATTGGAATCTAATCGGGACCATACTGAAGGTGAGCTTATAAAGGACATGATAATATTTTGAAAACATTGTTTTGAGAAAGTCTGTTTCACATGTGAGCTTTGACTTTCTAATATTAATTCAGTAGTTCATCCAATAATCTGTTCTATTTCAGAAAACTAATTTCTCAGAAATTTAGTCAGTTCTGTTGTAGTGTCTTTGTATGCAGCCCTTAAACTATCCAAAAATATACTACAATTAAATTCACAATTTTCTTAATGAGTATGTATTAAATGTTCTATATCATAGACTTTACAGAATTAGCTATATTGTCTTTAAAGCTGCTAATACTATAAGATTTCAGTTGACTCTAGAGGGATAGTGCCTCATTCAGTGTCACAGCACATTTTTTTTATATATATGTAACATGAACTGAAGGTTAAAGCCAGAGATGGGTTCTAGATAAAACTTCAGATACTTAGACTGAGCCACATATGAAGCCTTCATTAGTGTACAACCTCATTGAATGTTTTGAACTAATACAAATACTCCCGTTGCATCAAGTTCTTTACAAAATTTGATTTTAAAATGTAAAGGAAATGCCTGACAGTGAGGCCATTGTTTTAAATATATTTAATGCACAGCTTTCAAGATGCTGCCTCTTCTTGTAAGCAAGAAATTTACTTCCTTGAGTAAGAAAACTTTGAGTGAGTGCCCAAGTATAATCTTCAAACCAAAATAGCTCCTCTTATTCTGTGCATCAAAGCCATCCTTCTGTTGAGTAACATTTTCTTAATGTCTTTACTGTGTTGTTACAAAGATGGTGAAAGTGCAAAAAAAAAAATGATGTCAATCATAAACAAAACTATGTTGGTTTTTTTAAAAAAAAGAAAAACTAAATATTTCTGTGCCTTTTTTTCAGGGACTGATAAACTTGAAAGAGCAAGAATCTGTCTGGTATAAAGACCTGAATATGTACATAACAGTGGCTCTACCAATTTTCACTGTTTACAATCTTTTTTACTGCAATTATTAGATTTAGTGGGTTATTAGATACCTACTATTAGTCATAGGTATTTTTGCCTTTGATTCAGTATTAAAGGTATTATCAGGAAACTGTTCATAAGACTCTTACTGTTAATTAGTCTTTGTAGTACTTTGACAATGAAAACTTTATGAAGTTGACCATTAGCATGTTTTGGATTTTTTTTAACTGAAATTTAGGTCAAACTCCAATTTCTCTGCTATCCCAGACCTCCCCTGCAATGTTTTTTCTAATGTCCTGTCGAACAGTTGCTATTGTCTCAAATCAGGGACTTCTTTCAGAACAAGAAGTGTGTGTGTTTTCTGGTTTACTTCTAACCACTTCTGTTCCTGTTAAGCTGCACAACACCAGCATAAACGGAGATAATGTTATCAGAGTGGTCCATCTTTAGTCCTCAAACAGGATCCAGATTCCAGTATTTGAACTTTGCTATCTCATTTGGCTACTTATTCCCTCTTGTCTGTCGCAGCCTTGTGTCTGTGGAGCATCAGCTCTAGCCAGCCGCCTCACTACATGCATCTCAGGTGGTCCCTTACTGCCTTTTTGACTTGCTCAGCTTGCTCTCTAAGCTTCTAAAAGAGCAGGAAAAGTGTCAGCCTCAATCTTTACCTGGCACTGTTATTAGTGTAGTGAGTTTTACTAATCATGAAGTAGTACACTACATGTCTTAGTACTGGAATACCAATTGCAGATGTAGAACTGTGTCACACAGATAGGAAAGAAGGATGTTTTATGCATTTTTTTTATCCCTCACAAGAAGATACACACTAGTAGCAAAAAAAATAATAATCTGAAACTATAAAGACAACAGAAGGCTGTAAAAACAGAGGAAAGCATAATGGGAAGACAGGATAGGTCCTGAAGAGAGTATTATTCTTCATGTGGTCCTTCTTGAAACATCTTAGAAAATATCAACAGCGGAGTTTAAATACTCCTTTCATAAGCAGTATTTAAGTGAGCTATAATGATTATTTTTAAGCTAAATCTGATTAATATTGAAAACAGCAACCAAAAAATTATTTGCCTATTTTATATGTCAAAGTTTTTTTTATTTGCAGAGAAGAAACTGAGCAAAATGGTTTACTTTTCATACTCTTCATAGTTTTCTATTGGAATTGTGGCCTTGTACACGTATGATGTGATCAATATTCCCCGTCCTTCTCTAGAAAAAAACCTGAACAGTTCTTGAACCAGGAAGTGTGGGCTTTTCAGTAAAATAAGGGCTTTTCTAAGAGGTAATGTTAGATGCAAGAAAACTTAGACTTCTAATTATTAGGTAAATATAACTTGATAGAAATAAGTAAATTTTAGTGACTAATCAAGGACTGATGTACAAGTTTCATATAATGCTATATTTGTTGTTTTTCTAGTGGCCTAATATAAATCTAAGAAACTATAAAGATGAACAGTTGCACAGGTATGTAAAAAATTACGTAGACTTTCTTTGAAGAAATAAATTTGGAAAACCTGGTTTTTAGTCTTGCAATAAAATACTCCTTGGATATATCACCTTTCTTAAATTTAATCATTAGATAGGCAGCAAAAATGAAAATCCGGATAATTAGGTTTCGCTGTTTGCATTAAATAGGTGTTTAAACTGCTTTTTTATTTACAGATGCTTTATACATTTATTCCCATAACAAAAATCATACTAGCTTTGCAAATGCCCTGTTTAGTTTTGAAACCTAAAAGTGTTAGTTCTTTGATATTTCAAACATTTTTTCAAACGTGATATTTCAAATGTGTTTTGTGTCAGCACTTGGCAAATTTTGATGGAATAAGTCTACAGTTGTTCGGTTTTATAGTTGCAGCTTTCATCAGAAAACAAGAGGAAGTTATTTCTAGTATCTGCTAATGGCAAGGGAAGCAAGTGTGATTTGGGAAAAAAAAGCCAACCAAAAATAAAACCAGTACAGTTCTGGTTCCTTTCATGTGTGTTGGCATTAAGTTTTTATTACTTGTGTGCGTGTGCTCTCATGGTGTTACTAATTAGTTCTTGGATGTTACTTTCAACATGCATTTCAGAAATGCATTGAATTATTTTGAATGGTTCTGGATTTGTGAGCATGGAAAACTACTTCTGCATGAGTTTGAGGGAAAAACAAAAGATAGAACATGTGCCGAAAGGCCCAGGCTGCTCTGTTTTTAATTTTTACCAGAAGTAGTTGGGCTACTTCAATAGCATGTTCTCAGCATAAGCAGTAGTCCCATAGTAACCATAGCCATCATTTAATTTGGCATTTGTAGTTTTTCTGGGTTTCCTTCACAGCATTTATTGCCAATCTGTGCTTTGTGGTAAAGGATTATTTTCCAAATTTGTTGGTTTATAACATCATCAAGGTTGGAAGAGATCTTTACGATCATCTAGTCCAACTGTTAACCTGTCACTCTGCTGTGACACCTAAACCTAAACTGTATCTTCCAGCGCCAGATCCAGACTCCTCTTAAACACTTCCAGGGATGGTGACTCCACCACCTCCCTGGGTAACCTATTCCAGTGCCTGGCCACACTAACTGAAAATTTTTTTCCTAATATCCAAGCTGAATCTTCCCTGTTTCAGTTTAAGGCCATTCCCTCTCATCCTCTCACTGCAGGCATGGCAGAAGCGACCAACCCCCACCTCTCTACAACCCACCTTCATGTAGTTGTAGAGAGCAATGAGGCCACCTCTTCTCAAGATGAGAAGAGGAACTCCCTTCAGTATAACATTGCTTCTCTAAAGCAATGTCTGCAGTCCCAATTCTGACACCAATGCCCACTCCTCTTTCTACCTATTTGGGGCCATGTTCCTGTTCCCTGGATTTGTGCTACACGCAAGCATTATTCAGTGCCTAAATAATTTCATTCCAAATAAATTGAGAAAATCTAGGATTGAATTAGTGTAAAGCTTCTGCAGTTCATTGATCCTTCCTGCAGGATTGTGGATTAAATGATTTAATGCTCTTCTCTTGTTTAGTTATAACTAACTAAGCCCCAAACCTCTGTAGTTTCACTGCTGATCATAAAATTTCAGCCCCTTTGTTTTGCAAGTGTAAATTACGTTTATTTGTCCTTCCACAAGTTGATTTTTTTTTTTTTACGTTAGTGTTTCGTTGTGGTGATCTTATGGCTGCTGAAGTGAAATTCCCAATTTGTGGGGGTTTTTTTAAGATAGATTCCTTCATTTCGTATACATTTAATGCAGTGTGTATATACATATAGAATGATAGAATAAATCAGGAAAGACCTCAAAGGTCATGAAGTCCAACTGTTCACTGCTATACAGTGTCCCCAAGTGCCATGTCTACACAACTTTTAAATCCCTCCAGGGATGATGACTCCAGCACTTCCCTGGGCAGTTCAAATGCCTGACCTCTCTTTTAGTCAAGAATTTTTTCCTAATATCCAGTCTAAACTTCCCTTGGTGCAACTTGAGGGTATTTGCTCTTGTCCTGTCCCTTATTACCTGGGAGAAGAAACTAACCCTCACCTGCCTACAACCTCCTTTCAGGTAACTGTAGACAGTGATAAGGTCTCCCCTGAATCTCCTCCTCTCCAGGCTAAACACCCTCAGCTCTATCAGCTGCTCCTCATCAGACTTGTGTTCCAGACCCTTCCCCAGCCTCACTGCCCTTTTCCGGACACACTTCAGCACCTCAATGTCTGTCTTGTAGTGAGGGGCCCAGAACTGCACACTTGTATGTGTACATACATATATACACAATTAAATATACACATCTATAAATTTGTATGTTAATGCATATTTATTTCTAATAACCCTGAATAAAATACATTTAATTTGACAAAATTTCATTAAGCCCTCAGATTTCCATTATAATTGACCCTGTGTTTGGAGTAAGGGAAAGTGGTCTACTCTGACCTTTTTAACTAAAGGTACAGTGCTGTAATTAAGTTTACTTAATACTTGACACATCTACCTTCTGGTGGAACATTCTGTGTTACTTTAAAGCACAAATGTATGTTTACTTTTTTATGAAGAATTGAGTAGAGGAGGATCTTTGCTAAAGATTATTCCTGTGTTGCAGAACTCAAGCTACATTGCTTATTGTAATTTCAAAGAGTCTGAGAGTCCACATTTGCAGTCACTGTGTTACGTTTCAGAAATGGTTAAGTGAGGTGAATGAAAATAGTGTTGCTGAATAAGTAAGACCTTTTCCTGGCAGAACACAAAAACGTGTTTTTCACAGTAGCATTAACTGTTGTAGCTGAAGAAAACTCAGGTCACAAGATTCTTTTTTAGCTCTTTGTTAGTTTAGGTAATAGTCTTTGAAATGCACCAGAGGATAAATTACAGCAGAGTAAATAATGCGAATGAGAAGCAAGCTATGGCTTCTGAGAGTATAGAGGTTTTAAGTTCTTTTGCTGATAATAAGTCATTGCATAGAAAACCCTTTCTGTCACACAATACAGCAGCACCTCTGAAATTGTGTTAGGATAGATTCATTACTGTTACCTGCTACTCTTGTAATAACTTTTGGAAATTTGTTGCCAATAAACCAATTTAATGATAACATGTCTTTTCTAGCAGCATCGTTTTATATTGTGAGACTGTCCTTGTTGTACTGAAAAGTAGCAAATTCTTTTTTGCTTTCTATAGGTTTGTAAGGAGATTGCTGTATTTCTACAAGCCTAGCAGTAAGCTCTATGCCAACCTGGATCTGGACTATTCCAAGGCAAAGCAGCTCACTGTTGTGGGTTGTCAGTTTACTGAATTTCTTCTTGAATCAGAAGAGGTAAGAAATTTTCAGCTACAAGACTAGGGGTACAATGAGTAGCCTTGCTGTATGTCACTTGGAGAAAAACTTAAATTTTTGGTAAAGACTTCTGAGACTTTGGGTGTTAAGTTTAAAGTGATCAGTAATTAAGAAATATAACTTAAAATTAAAATGAATTGTCCAGATGGGACACAGGAAGATGAGTATGTTTATTTGGAAGTTTTATTAAATTCAGCCTGGTTAAATGCAACTTAAGAGTTTGGAGGGATTTTTTTATTATTTTTACTATGTATAGCCTCCTTTTTCTACCTCCTATCTTCTTTTGTGCTAAAAACTTTTATGCCTCAGGTCAGAGGAAAATGTCATTGAATAATCTTTTCCCTTTTCCTGGAAAGAAAGAATGGGTCCTAAGATGCCTCCAAGCTTAACTCCTTTTATTTGCCTTGAATCTTTTTCTTTAGTCTGAATTGTTTGCAGCCTGCATTTCTGTTTTCCATCTGTATTGTGTTTGTACATTCTAAGAAATTTAAAATGGTGGGCTTCAGTAGAGACAGGACACAGTTCTGTACTAACAGATGCTATTCCTCTTTGTTTTGTTAGGATGGACAAGGTTACCTGGAGGAATTGGTTAAAGATATTGTACATTGGCTCAACTCTTCATCAGGAATGAAACCTGAACGTAGTCTTCAGAATAATGGGTTACTAAATACTGTTAGCCAGCACTACTTTCTGTTTTTTGGTACTTTATCTTGTCACCCTCATGGAGTGAAAATGCTTGAAAAATGTAATGTGTTTCAGTGGTGAGTGTTCTCATTCTGTTTGAATTGTGCTTACAGTGTCATAGATATGTAAACTGTGTGTGAGTGCCACCATCTGGAAAGCTGAAAAGCTGAAAGTTATTTTGACTTACTTACAGGTAAAGATCCCCATCTTTTTTTTAAAGAAGGGGTCTTTTAGTCTGTCATTCCTAAACAGATAGACGTGATTGTGGCATAACCAGGTTACTTTTTCCTGTCCACACCTGTCTGTCAGAGATCAGTATCAGGAAGGATTAGAGTGTACTGAAAAGAAGGGGGGTGGGGGGCTAGAAAGAAAAACAAACAAAACCCAAAACGCACAAACTTCCAAAGGCTGTTGGGTATCATACTGTTTGTGAAATGTGTTGCTGTGTGTTGTATTTATATACTTCAGTCCTGTATATTTGAGTGAAGTTCTGAAGTTCAAAAGATTCAGGTACTTCCTTTGGGAATAAATTGGCTAGTGACTAATACCAGTTTATTTAAATATAGTAAACTTCAAGCAAAGATGCAGGTATTTTGATGTACTTTTTTTCCCCTAATTACATTGGTTTTGTTGATTATTAGCAGGTTTTTTACTGACCTCAAAACTCAATTAACAATAAAATCTAGACAAATAATAGGACTAACCTGATGGCAAGCTTCATACACAATGTTTTGCAATGAAGAATTGTTTGCAGAGCTTCATGAACATTAATTTTGATACTCATAATTGCTAATTAAAGTATGCTGGCAAAATTATTGCGGAGCAATTAAAAAAAAAAGTGTTGGTTTGAGGTTTTCCCTTTGCACTTTAGTGCATTCTTTGGTCCCCATTTGACTTCACAGCTCTAACAGTTTAAGGTTGCTCCATGTCATATGATAGCTTACATATATATTCTGCATTAATAGAAATGTAAGTCTGATTCAAAGTACTTCAGTTTAAATTATTGATTGATTGAATAAATAGATGGGTTTGAGTGGGTTCTAATGCTAATTTTTCTTTTCTTCTTCCTCCCCTTCCATGCCTGCAGTCTTCTTAATCTTTGTTCTTTGAAGAACCAGGATCACTTGTTAAAGTTGACCGTTTCTAGTCTGGATTATAGCAGAGATGGATTAGCAAGAGTCATCCTTTCTAAAATCCTCACAGCAGCTACTGATGTAAGTTCAGTTCAATTTACATTCCATTGTAATTTGACACTAGACAGTTATTTTGTTATTCAAGGTGTATGACTTCATTTTAAAGCTATTACATGTCCAGAAAGGTTTCTCTTTTCATGGTCAGAGAAGAGAAGCTCCTACTCATGTAGTTTTTTTAATTGTTGTGAATATTGTATTTGTGCTCAAGAAATTAAGTCATTCAATAGAGGTTTCTCTCATGTACAAAGAATGCTAAAGTGTTGATATGTATAAACTAAGTGTAACGTTATTATCTAGGTCAGTAGACATCTTAAATCAATTGCTATCACAAACATAAATATGTATTTCAAGCAGTACTAAACAGGTTCACCTTCCGGTAGTAGATACTGTTTCGATAATGATTGAGGTTACTATGGTGAAACTGAGTAGAAGCTATAGTTTCTGGAATGAGGGGGACAGTTCAGAAATAGGCATTGGGATTTGTTCTCCTTAGTCAAAGGTGAGTGGGAATAAAATGCAGACTTATGTGGACTTGGAAGAGGAAACTCATGAACTTTTAAGGTGTAACATCATTCGACAAGCAACCATTGATGTCAGGGAGATGACAATTAGTAAGCTGAAATCTAACTAGGAAGGAACTTTCATTACTTCACACAGAGTTGTCTCTGTCACCTGAACAGACAGAATGTATTCTGGAGTGGATGAGAGAGAGAATAAATAAAGTAGGTCCTAGTGTCGTGGTTTAACCTCAGCCAGCAGCCAAGAACCATGCAGCTGCTCACTGCTGCTCATTCCTCCTCCCCCCTCTTGCCTCCCAACCAGGAGGAATGGGGAGGAGAAAAATTAAGTATGTAGGTTGAGATAAGAACAGTTTAATAATAATAATAAAGAGTAGAATGAGCTAAAATGCTAATGCATAATAAAAAGAACAAAACCAGTGATGCACAATACAATTGCTCAGCACCCGTGGACAGGCACAGCCCCGAACCTCCCCCCGGATCGGCCCTTCCATGATGTGCCATGGGGTGGAATATCCCTGTTCAGGTCACCTGTCCCGGCTATGCTCCCTCACAGTTTTTTGTGTATCTTCTCACTGGCAGAGCATAAGACACAAGAAAGAAAATGTCCTTGATTTAGGATAAATACAACTTAGCAGAAACCAAAACATCAGTGTATTATCAACAGTATTACCACTCCGAATCCAAACACTGCACTACACTAGCTACTGAGAAAACTAACTCCATCCCAGCTAAAACCAGCACAGCTAGCTTTAAATATCTCATTGTATTCTGGAAGAGGAGAAAAGAAATTGAGGATATTTCTCTGAGATTATCAAAGATATGATGATTCTTATAGGTGAAGAGTAGAATCTGAAAGTAATGAAGATAGCTGAGGTTGAAAGAATGACTCATTTAAAGAAGCGAGTGAAGCTTCCTAGTGGCTTTTAACTTTCATAATTGACATCTAAATTCTGTTTAAAAGGAATAAAAATATATGGAAATGAGCATAATTTATGAAAAACTGCATTTTGTAGGGGAGAAAGACCATCTCCAGTAGGCTTCTTTCCTTCTGTATCTTAATTCCCCAAGACATTTCTGATTGAAATGCCTTGTCTTTTTATTTCAAAAGCTAAAGATGCTATTTTTCTTAGGTACTGAGGCTGTAACCTCAAACACCTTTTAGAACTACCCAGATCTGTGAAGCAGGCATGTTAGCCATTTGCTAACAAGTGGGTCTGAACAGGGAAAGCTAATTTATGTAGCCTTGCAGATTAGTGAAGGAGAAGTGCATCTTAACCTGCTTTCAGATGTGCTTAGGTCATTCATGCTAAAGCAAATTCATGCTGTCTCAGCTGCCTTTCTGCCAGTTTGTGGTGGAAACAGTAGAGTAGCCAGTATGTCCTCAGGTGCTGCAGTTCATGACCTCAGATTTTAACCTCATAGGTGTCTATGGGGTAGACTTACCCTACACCCACTGGTATCTATGCTGAGCTGTATGTAGTCAGCTGAGCATAGTAACTTAAAACTTGGTCATCACTTCTAAGAGTCTCAAAGTCCTTTAATAATAAAAGTAAGAACCTTCTGACAGATTTAGTATAGGCTTTATTTTTGTTTTTCATGTA